CAGAGCAGCTGGGGTGCTGCCGGGTTGGTCCAGTAGTGCCCAGAGCGGGCGCTACAGGACCAACCAGAAGCGCCCCAGCTGCTGTACCACAGGCGTCTGGAGCAAAGCCGCAGAACACGGGGGCAGCGGGACAGCCCAGACGCGCCGTGGCTGTCCTGCTGCCCTCGGACTCCGCAGCTTTGCTCTGCTTTGCTCCCCGTCCCCCTGGTCTGCAGACCAGAAGGACGGGGAGCAAAGCGGCTGAACACACGGGCAGCGGACAGCCCAGACGTGTCCTCCCGCGTGCTCCGCCACTTTGCTTCCTCTCCCTGGTCTGCTGGAGACCAGGAAGAGGAAGGGCCCCGTTCGTAACTGCGGATCCGACGTAAGTCGGATCCCCGTAACTCGGGGACTGCCTGTATATCTTGAATTCTGTATTTCCACTCCAACTCATCTGACCAAATGGGTTTTAGCCATGAAAGCTCATGATGCTATACCTTTGTTAGTCTCTAAGGTGCCACGGGACTACTCATTGTATGTGACTGGTTCACATTACTATAGACATCTGGCCTGATTTACCAGAGCAATATACTTAGTCTAAATTAAACCTTGCTTCAAAGTTCTCATAACAACTGCATAGCCCAGTTTATCAATATACTTCAGCAAAATGTATCCACAATATACCAATCTTTGAGCATGTGAATCACACTAATGCTATTTTAAAAGACTGATTTAAAAAAATAAATGAAATAGATTTATTTGAGTGTATAAATTTATCCACAAAATATTATTTTTATTTAGAATTATTTTTCTAATTACCAAATTTATATCCATGGATATATGTTTTGTGTCCATGCAAGGCTCTACCCAGAGCTTTAGAGTTCTAACTCAGGCTTAAATAATACAGAAATGAGTGCAAGTACAGGAATATCTAGATTGGTTGATAATAACCGAGTATTAATTAATAAGAAAACAACATTCCAACATTCTCAGAACTCATTCATGCCTTAAATTAAAAAATCTCTTTGCCTTACTTCCCGGATGCTGAGGCATTCCAAATTCAGTCAAGACAAACTGTGTTTAAAACAAAGCTATACCAAACTAGCTAATTTGATTGTCGGCCAAAGGTATTTAACACACCTAACTCCCCTGGATTTATATGGGAAATCAATGGGAATCAGATGCATAACGGGGCCTCAGTGGATCTGAAGTAAGTGTAAATTGAATCTTTTTCTTATTCAATTCCAATGGTGTTTTAAAGAGAACTCTGCCTTTGGAAGCTTCATCTTTCAAATTAGATGTAAAATGAAGGTCCTGAGCTCATGTAGTATCATTGATTATTTATCCAATGGCAATTTATACAAGAGTAAGGGTGTGCTAACTTTCATGTTTTGATCAGATTTTAATTTTGTGGTATTATATTCTATTTACCTAAACTCCTTAGCAGTTTTGATGTGTATGACTTTCTTTATTACTTCCTAACCTTATGGTTGCAAGGTATTATGTATTGTTAAATAGCTGCCTCTTCTATTCTAACAGTCGGCCACTTAAACGCTTGAGCTCCGAATATAGCTATTGCAGAGGCATAGCGAAGGAGATGCGGGTGGGGGGCAATTGCCCCCAGGCGCCACGCTAGGGGGGCGCCGGGCCGGGGTGAGAGTGAGCGCACACTGCACAGGCTCTCCTGGCGTGGGTGGCGAGTTCTATGGCTGCCCCCACCCCCTGGCCTCGGGAAGTCCCTGCCGTGCGCAGCATTCAATCGGCTCCCCCTTGCCCGAGCACGCTGCGCACAACAGGGATAGGCCAGGGCTATAGAACTCGCCACCCGTGCCAGTGTTCAGTCAGCTCCCCCTTGCCTGCACACATTGCGCAGCGTTTCAGGTGACTGGGGATACGCCTGGGCGTGACCTGACATGATGGCCCAGGACTTTAAAAGTGTGCGGTGCCGCACGGTGCCTGCCTAGCTTCCAGTTCGGAGTCCAGGGACTTTTGGGGCCTGAGCGCAGACTCCGGCTCCACAAGTGGAAGTCAGAAGGTACAGCAGGGCAGGGCAGGGCAGGGGGAAAACTAGGGGGAAGGGGTAGAAGAGTGGGAGAGGAAGGGGTTTGTGTGGAGGGGGGAGGGAAGGGGAGGAGCTTGTGCAGAGGTGGAGGGGAGAGGGAATATACAAATGCCAGGGGGCCAAGTGCAGACAATGAGGAAAAGGGCAGAAGAGAAGATGTCAGTGCGGGGGGGACAGGGTGATGCTGGGAGAGGAGAGGGGAAGGGCATTGGGGGTAGAGGGGGAAGGGTTGGTACTGGGAGAAGAATTGGGCATGTTTAGTTTGGAAAGAAGACAGAGGGGACATGATAGTTTTCAGGCATCTAAAAGGGTGTCACAAGGAGGAGGGAGAAAAATTCTTCTACTTGGACTCTTATAGGACAAGAAGCAATGGGATTAAACTGCAGCAAGGTAGGTTTAGGTTGGACATTAGGAAAAACTTCCTAATTGTCAGGGTGGTTAAACACTGGAATAAGTTGACTAGGGAGTTTGTGGAATCTCCATCTATGGAGGCATTTAAGAGCAGCTTAGATAGACATCTATCAGGGATAGTCTAGATGGTACTGGTCCTGCCATGAGGGCACAGGACTGGATTTGATGACCTCTCGAGGTCCCTTCCAGTTCTAGTGTTCTATGAACTTATAATGCTTAAACTTTCAGGGGCTAAGAGCAGAGTCCTTTCAGCTGCAAGTTTCCTCTCCATGCAGTGCTGAGACACCACACTGTCTGCCAGCCTCCTTCTGCAGTACTAGGAGAGCATCGGAAGCTCGGGTTTACACCAAAGCCTAGAGTCCAGTGCTCAGACACAGTGTGCCAAGCAATGGATTTGATGATATAATGAAAAGAGTTGTGGAGTTATCCAGAGTTGAAGACTCTTTGCAAAAAGTTATCACTTTGGAGGTTTATCTGCCTCTATTTAGTTCTTCCTGCAATTAGGTTTACTTTGAGGTAACTTCCTCTGGGAAGGGGCTGAGCTGACAGCTGCTATAGTTACCCCTGATTGAAAATCTCTAGATGTCAGTAGTATTGCATTTATTTTAAGAACAGTCCCTAGGACACTTTTGTTTGTTTCTGGCACCTTCCTTTGGTTACAGAGTCAATCTGAAGTGCTGTGTCTTTCCAGCTACAAATATCAGGGGCATAGTTTAGCCCTCCCTCAATAGTAATTCAAACAAACAGGGCAAAGTAGGCAAACAATGCAAACCCAAAGCCTTCTCGGCCCACCCAGCAAGGCAAAAAAGGCAATTTATTCCAGTGTTTAACCACTTTAACCATAAGTTTTTCCTAATGTCCAACCTAAACCTACCTTGCTGCAGTTTAATCCCATTGCTTCTTGTCCTATAAGAGTCCAAGTAGAAGAATTTTTCTCCCTCCTCCTTGTGACACCCTTTTAGATGCCTGAAAACTATCATGTCCCCTCTGTCTTCTTTCCAAACTAAACATGCCCAATTCTTTCAGTCTTCCTTCAGAGGTCATGTTCTCTAGACCTTTAATTATTCATGTTGCTCTTCTCTGGACCTTCTCCAATTTCTCCACATCTTTCTTGAAATGTGGTATCCAGAACTGGACAGAATACTCCCAAATCGAGGCCTAATCAGTGCAGAGTAGAGTAGACTGGGCGGGTTAATTTCCAATCCTGTGGTTTACTCTTTTCCTAAGCCAGGAGGGCACAGTAGTTCTGATGGGGGCTCTGCAGGAAGGCAACTCGCGCTGCCCCCTGCCTGAAATCCTTTGTGCAGGTGTTAAACAGCTGTCCAACCCACTCTAGAGGTGACTGCATTTCAGCATGCCTGAAGCAATGGACAGGAGAATGGCTCCCGGGCATGGCTTGCTCATGACTGCTTCAGTCCCTTTGGATGGGCCTCAGCCTCTTTTCTTCCCCTCCCCCACTTTGCAATGGGGCTGTAGACTCTGGGGGGAAAGGGGTGGAGGCAGGCAAAGGTCTCTCCCTGCAGCAGATGTAGGCACGTCTCTGTATTAATCATTCTCTCATTGAAGTTTTTAGCTTTGTATTGAGTCCTTTACATGGAAACTTTGTATTAAGTCTTGGTAGAATAGTCTCTAGGACAAGTGAGGCAGAGACTGTCCCTGTGGGGTGAATGAGGTGGGAATGTATAAGGCAGAAGGTGAGCACCTCTGGGCAGTTGAAAAGGTTGGAGAGGGCATAGAAGCCAGATCCAAGATCGATGAGCCCTAGGAAGTGGGCTCATTGAAAGAAGTCTGGACCTGTGGATGCTTTGGGGGTCAGCAGCAAGGGCCTGCTTTGGGAAGTCCCTTCTTTACAGGTGAATGTGGCAGCACTGAGACACCGCCCAGAAGCAGGCACCACAGACACTAACTGCAGATTCATGGGACGGCTCTCACAGATCTTGCACATGCATAAGATGATAGATCTGCAAGGGGGTGGGGGCAGTGGCGTAGCGAGGGGGCCAGAGGGGTCAGTGGCCCCTGGGCACCATGCTAGGGAGGCTCCAATTTAATCCCATTCTGCTCCTCCCGTTATCCCTTCAGCTCACGTGCTCCCACTCCGCCTGCCATCAGTAGCTAGAGCCTCCTACCTGCCTCTCTGCTCCAAGCCCGACCCTCTTCCATCTCCACCGGCGGGTTAGTGCATGCGGGAGCCTGGCCCCAAACTGTAGGGGGCGGGGGAAGATGCAGTACAAGTTCCCCTCAGCTGTGCACCAGGTTCAGGGCCATGCCACCTGGCGGCGGGAGGAGAGGGGGGGGCGCAAATTTTTCCTTTGCCCCCGGGCGCATAATACCCTCGCTTTGCCTCTGAGCTATTGTGAAGAGCTGATTAATGTGGCACAGAAATAGCAGGCTGGGACCGTGGTACAATTCCAGAGGTTGTATAAGCAAATTAGTTTGGGCCCCAAAATTCAGAGTTTTATTTGCTTTTATGACCTCTGGGGTCTGACCAAAGTTCTGACTTGAAGTAGTATTAATGCAAACCTTAAAATAATATTTTACTATGCCAAACGAACATCTACATTAGGGGTTTGGAACAGGTGACATATGAAAAGAGATTTTAAAAACTGGGAATTTTCACCTTAGAAAAGAGGAGACCAAGAGGGAAAAGGGGGGGAATATGATAGCGGCCTATACAATCACGACAAGTATGGAGAAAGTGAATAAGAAAAAGTTATTTACTTTTTCCCATAACACAGGGGTGGGCAATAATTTTTGGTGGGGGGCCACTCCAAGAATTTGGAAAATTGTTAAGGGATGCATTTTTCTGTGGAAGCAGTACAGGGTATAAGATGGAGATTGGGTACAGAAGGGCTCACGGGGTAAGGGACTGGGGTGCAGGAGACAGTGTGAGGTCTGCGAGGGAATTTGGATGAAGGAGGGAGTTGTAACCTGGATCGGGAGATTGGGGTCAGGGAGGTAGTGTGTGTGCAGGAGAGGATTCTGGCCTGGGGGAGAGGTGTCCCTTCTGCAACCCCAAACCACTTAAAACTGTGGGCTCCCTCCATGTGGCTCTGAACTCTGGAAGGGAGGGGAAGCTTGCACTGGTTATTTCTGGCCAATAGGAGCCGAGAGATTGGCTGGGGTCAGTTCCTATTGGCTGGTTGTTTCCAGCAAAAAGAAGCTGAGCATTAGGCTGCGGATGGGGAGATCACCCAAAGCCTCCCACTCCTTCCCGAGTAGAGAGCCACACAGAGCAGCCCTGTGATTAAAACTGCAGCTCCTGCATGCCTGAGGGTCCCAGCAGGGTGGTCCACAGGCCAGATCTGGTGACTTGGGGGCTGGATCTGGCCTGTGAAAGGTGTCTTGCCCACCCCTTCATAACATAAGTAGAGGTCACCAAATGAAATTAATAGGTAGTAGGTTTAAAACAAACAAAAGGAAGTTTTTCTTCACACAGCGCACCATCAACCTGTGGAACTCCTTGCCAGAGGATGTTGTGAAGACCAGAACTTTAACAGGGTTCAAAAAAGAACTAGCTACATTAATGGAAGTTAGGTCCATCAATACTTATTTGCCAGAACTGGTAGTAACGGGGTCCCTAGCCTCTGTCTGTAAGGGGCTGAAAATGGATGACAGGAGAGGGATCTTGATGATTACTTAAATTAAAATAAATTAATGGAGATTGCCTATCTCCTAGAACTGGAAGGGACCTTGAAATGTCATTGAGTCCATTCCCCTGCCTTCACAGCAGGACCAAGTACCATCCCTGACAGATTTGCCCCAGATCCCTAAATGGCCCCTGCAGTGATTGAACTCACAATCCTGGGTTTAGCAGGACAATGCTAAAACCACTGAGCTGTCTCTCCTGTTCTATTCACTCCCTCTGAAGTATCTGGCATTGGCTACTGTTGGAAGACAGGCTACTGGGCTAGATAGATCTTTAGTCTGACCCAGTATGGCCATTCTTATGTTCTTACCTTTGACATCAGCCATCTTTAAGATAAATATACGCACACAACACTTTATTTGCATGTTTTTTAAAAAGCTTTAAAACATACTATACCTTTGGCTGGCCGTATAGAAAATGCTATTCCTTTTTCTGTAACTATAGGTTTCCAACTAAATTCTGCAAGATAATTTCTGTGATTGCATATTCTAACTGTTGTTGTGTAGCCCGTTGCCACAAGGAAACCAGGGGTAGGATTTAGAATCAGCTCCCTTGCAGATAACTCAAGGGCAACTGGCACCACTTTTGCAACTACCAGCACATGCCCAGTATGTTTGCTGTTTATGGTGTAAGTGAAAGACCTGAAATGTAGAAAAATATTTTCTAATAAATGTTATGTATATTAAAATATTCAGCAATGCACTTACATTAAATATAGTCACTAGGAGTAAAATACCCAGAGAAAATATTGTACACATTGTAAGTATACTTAATTAATGAGATTATAAAAATGTGTTACTTGTAATTGTTTTTGCTCTTTACGCTATGCAAAATATCATTAAATTTTAACAAAAATGTTTCTATAACTTTGACCATTAAAGTTTAATTAATCAAATATATTGTCACTACTTTGCTAAGTGTTTTTTCATACTCGGGCTTTTCTGGACAGATTCCTTTTAGAGAAGAAACCTGTGACTCGGACTCAGGTTATTTTCTTAGTTATGAACATCTCAAAAATAGAGGTTGTTCATAACGCTGAACAAAACATTATGGTTGTTCTTTCAAAAGTTTGCAGTGTTTGGACTTAATAGTTTTCAAACTTTACTACAAGTAGAAAAATATTGCTTTTAACCATTTTAATTTAAATGAAATAAACACAGAAACAGTTTCTAAACCTTGTCAAATCTTTTTTTTAAAAAACTTTTCCTTTTTTTTTTTTAATAGTTTTACATTTAACATCGTACTGTACTGTATTAGCTATTCTTCGTATCTCTGTTGCTGCCTGATTGCATACTTCCAGTTCCAAATGAGATATGTGATTAACCAGTCAGTTCATAACTCTGGTGTTCATAACTCTGAGGTTCTAATATAATTAGTTAATTTATAAAATGTACACAAGACCTATTTCCCTAAACAGAGGTGATTACTAATTCCACACAGATAATGCTCTTTTGCAGAAACCTGAGCTAAAATATTAATCTTGAATCTCTGTGTCTCTGACTCTCCTGAAATCTCACAGCTCAACAAAATCTGGATTCACTGAAAGCAATGAAGACAGTATTTCAGCAACTACCGTAATATTGCGAGTATAATGAGCACTTTTTTCCCAACTTTTTTTGGGGTTCGCATTATACATAGGTGTTATTTTTTAAAGTTTTATTTTGGCAGCGCCCTGGCTTGCTGTCTGCCCAGTGCTCCTTCAGGTGCCCGGGGTCCCCGTAGCTGGCGCAAGCTCAGCAAGCACCAAGGAGGGAAGAGGCTGTGCAGCCTGAACCTCCTGGGTGAGCCTGCAGGTGGGAGCGGCGTGTCCCTCCCTCCCACTCTCCTGTAGCCCATGGCTGCCTTCAGGAAGCGGGAGATGCTAGGCTTGGTGCTGGCGCAGTGCGCGGGCAGCTGTCTGGAGAGGTAGAAGGCAGGTTTCAAACTCTGCCACTCGCTCCCCGGGCTGCGCGTGTGTTACCCAGCCGCGTGTGTTACCCGGGCGAGCCTGCAAAGTGGTGCGTCCCTCCCTCCCACTCTTCTGCAGTCCGGGGCTGCCTCCAGGAAGCAGGTGAGGCTGGGCTCGGTGCTGGAGAGTCAGCTCCTGGCTATGGGACAGCCACCTGTTGGCAGAAGCTGTGGGGCTGCTAAGCTCGATGGCTTCAAACTCTAGGGAGCATTATACATAGGAGTTCAGATTTTTTCATTACACTAAGATTCCAAAATCAGGGTGCGCATTATACATAGGTGCGCATTATACTTGCGATTTTACGGTATTACTTGTTCCTACCTCTGCCCTAGGCTTTTTACATTGGAAACCTTTTACCCTAAAACTGTTCATCTACAATAGCACAGCATCAATGTTAACCTAACTGTCAATCTTCCTTCTACACATGCACATGAATACTTGACTCCACCTCGTTAGAAACTATATACGATGTATCGTTTCTAGGTAGTCTGCCATACACTGTGTTTATCCATGTGTCAGAAAAAGAAGTTACTCACCCTGTGCAGTAACGATGATTCTTCGAGATGTGTGTCCCATGGGTGCTCCACTATAGGTGTCGGGCTTGTCCCGGCGCCGCAGATCGGAGAATTTTCGCAGCCATAGTCCGCCGGACCGCGCATGCGCGAAGCGCAGCTCGTGCTCTTTCGCACCATTTGTGTTCGCGCGGTCCGGCTCCCGCCAGTTCCTCCTGATCCTCTTGGTCTGAAAGACAAAATCATAATTCCGAAGAGGGGAGGAGGGTGGGTCGTGGAGCACCCATGGGACACGCATCTCGAAGAATCATCGTTACTGCACAGGGTGAGTAACTTCTTTTTCTTCTTCGAGCAGTGTCCCGTGGGTGCTCCACTATAGATGAATGTGCAACAGTAGCCCCTACAAGGAGGAGGGTTCGGAGCTATCGTGCTGCGGCAGTGGACAGCACCGCTCTTGCCACTGCTCCTTCTGGAAGGTGAAGGTTGGGAATGGCAGTGTTTGGCAAAGGTGAAGTTTGACGACCATGTAGCAGCCCTACAAATGTCTTTTAGAGGTACTCCCTTCAGGAATGCAGTTGATGCAGCGACTGCACGCGTGGAATGCGCTGTCGGATTCTGCAACAGTGGTCTGCTACATAAGGTATGGCATTCCTTTATGCAGTTCACTATGATTGACGAAATGCGCTGTGCTGACAACGGTTGACCCTTAGAACGATCGGCTGTAGACACAAATAGATTATTTGTCTTCCTGATGGACCTAGTTCTGTCTATGTAGAAAGCCAGGGCACGTCTGGCATCCAAAGTGTGCAGCCGAGCTTGTTCTGCCGAGATGTGGGGCTTTGGGTAGAAAGTGGGAAGCACTATCGGCTCATTGATGTGAAATTTCGAATTCACTTTCGGAAGGAAAGTGGGTTGGGGACGTAAAATAACTCCTTGATCAGTAAACAGAGTATATGGGGGCAAAGCCGATAAAGCAGCCAGCTCACCCACCCATCTTGCGGAGGTTATAGCTGTGAGAAAGATAACTTTCATTGTGAGAGTGCGGAAGTCACATGTGGCCAAGGGCTCAAAGGGTTTTTGAGTTAACGTATTAAGAACGAGCTCTAGGTTCCATGGTTGCGCTGGTTGTGTTCGGTGTGGGAAGAGATTATCTAAGCCTTTCATGAAATGTCACATTGTCGGGTGAGAGAAAACTGAGTAACCCTCCACGGTGTGGTGTAACGCAGTGATTGTGGCGACGTGCACTCTAATAGAGGCGCAGCTGAGAGAAGAGGTCTTGAGTTGCACGAGGTAGTCCAGGATACGGTGGATGGGCGCAGAGTAGGGATCCAGGGATGCCAACGCATACCATGCAGAAAACCGTGTCCATTTGTGAAGGTAGGTGGATCTCGTGGATAACTTTCTGCCTATGTAAAAGAATGTGTTTGACCTCTTGCGAGCAGATCATTTCTGTTTGTTGGAACCAACTAGGAACCATGCCGTCAGTGCCAGAAGATCGATCTGGGGATGGAGCAGGCGCTGCCTGTTCTGGATGAGGAGGTCGCGCCTCTTGGGCAGAGGGAATGGACGACGCACTGACATGTGATGGAGGTAAGGAAACCACATTTGCCTTGGCCAAAAGGGAGCTATCAGGATTACAGTGGCTTTGTCCATCAGTATCTTTTCTAATACTCTGGAGATTAGAGGTGTGGGAGGGAACGCATACAGCAGTTGATGACTCCAATTGTATAGGAAGGCGTCTCCCTTGGAGTTCCGACCTATTCCTGCCCTTGAACAGTATTGGGGGCATTTGGCATTCATGAGGGTCGCAAATAGGTCTGCTGTTGGAAATCCCCAGGAGTGGAATATGGTTGAGAGAACTTCTGGGTGAAGCTCCCATTCGTGCTTCAGGGAAAAATGCCTGCTTAGTGCATCGGCTATACAGTCCAGTAGTGGCACTAGTTATTCTGCAACCAGGGAGATTTTGTGGTCGATGCACCAATTCCATAAGGCAATTGCCCCGGCGCAGAGTGACAGGGATCGGGCCCCGCCCTACCTGTTTATATAGTATACTGTCGTCATGTTGTCGGTAAAAATTCGGATAGTTTGGGCACAAATCTTTGGGAGAAAGTGACAACAGGCATTGCGCACCGCTCGTAATTCTAGGAGATTGATATGCATCATCGACTCCTCTGGGGACCAAAGCCCTTGTACCTGATTGTGTTCCAGCCTATTAAAGATGCGTTGTGATGAAATGGCACACCCAACATCAGATTCTTGGGGACTGTCCACCAAGTTAGAGAATTTGTGACATGCACGGGGATTGATACCCGTTTGTGGACATCTTGAACATTTGGAGTATAAACCGTAGCTATCCAGTGCTGAAGGCAACGGAAGTGTAGTCTTGCATGCTCGACGATGTATGTCGTGGCTGCCATGTGTCCCATAAGCCAAAGACATTGTAGGACCGAGGGTCTGGGACTGGTGGTGATGGCCTGTATAAGGTCTTGCATTGCTTGGAATCTGGTTATTGGCAATAGAGCACGAGCAGTGGTTGAATCGAGTTGTGCACCTATAAATTGTATCAATTGTTGTGGTGTCATGGCTGATTTTGGAATGTTGATGATGAGACCCAAAGTTTCGAAAACTGTTTTCATGAGGCGTGTCATGCGCAGAGCCTCCGCCGCTGAAGGCGCCTTGATTAGGCAGTCGTCTAGGTAGGGGAATATTATTACGCCTAGATGTCGTAGATACGCTGTTACCACTGCCAGCGTCTTGGAGAAAACCCTGGGAGCTGACGAGAGACCGAAGGGCAGGACCCTGTATTGGAAATGGCCTGCTCCTAGTTGAAAACGTAGAAATCGTCTGTGAGCCAGGTGTATCGCTACATAAAAGTAGGCGTCCTGTAAATCGAGGGGCGTGAACCAATCTTCGCTGTGAAGTGCTGGAATGATAGTGGCTAGGGTAACCATTCTGAAGCGGTACCTCCAGAGGTACCGGTTTAATCCTCTGAGGTCGAGGATCGGTCTCCATCCCCCTGATTTTTTCCTCTGTTAGGAAATATCGAGAATAGAACCCCCGTCCCCGGAACTGTTTTGGTACTATTTCTATTGCTCCGATGGTGAGGAGGCGATCGACCTCTTGTTGTAAGAGAGGTTCATGAGATGGGTCCCTGAAAAGGGATGGGGTGGGGGGATTGGGTGGGGGTAGAGTGGTGAATAGAATGGTATGCCCTAGTGTGATTGTTTGCAACACCCATCTGTCGGTGGTGATGTGAGACCAACGATGTTCGAAAGGTCTCACGCGGTGGTGAAATAGCGCCTGTGGAAGTTTGGGATGGGTGTTTAGAGGAATGGTGTACAGTCCCTCAACTGGGATGTCAAACTTGTTGCTTGGCATTTACATGGCCAGATGTTTTTGGCTGAGGCCTTCTCTTCTGCTGGCGCTGTCGGTTACATTGCTGGTCCTGCTGTCTGTATTGGGATGGCTGAAAGGCGAATGGTCTCTGTCTCTGATAGGGAGTATACCGTTTCCGAAGGAAGGGAGGAATATACATGCCCAGAGTCTTGAGTGTGGATCTAGAGTCTTTACCGGAATGAAGCACCTGATCAGTTTTGTCAGAAAAGAGATTCTGTCTGTCAAAGGGTAGGTCTTGAACTTTGGACAGCAGGTCTTTAGGGACTGCTGCCTGGTGTAGCAGCGAGGCTCTGTGCATGACCACTGATGTAGCTGTGGTACGCGCTGCGGTGTCAGCCATGTCCAGAGCTATGTGAAGAGCTGTCCTGGAAGCTGTATAGCCCTCCTGGACCACCGCTTTAAGGACCTCCCTTTTGCCCTCAGGTAGATGCTCCAGTAGTGGCACTAGTTTGGCATAATTATCAAAGCTATGATTAACTAATAGCGCCGCATAATTTGCCATCCGGAGTGAAAGGGTAGCAGACGAATAGACCTTCTGACCGAAGAGGTCTAGCTGTTTCATGTCCCTGTCCAGGCCACTCAGTCTTTGCTGCGGGCCCCTCGTTCTTTGTTGGGCCACATCGGCAACCAGAGAATTCGGTGGAGGATGAGAGAAAAGAAACTCCATCCCTTTCGCTGGAACGTAATATTTTTTGTCTGCCTTTTTGTTGGTGGCCGGTGCAGAAGCCAGCAGCTGCCATATGTCATCAACAATCTCCAGGATGGCATCGTCCAATGGGAGAGCCACCTTCACCTGCTGTGAAGGATGAAGGTTTCTAAGCAAGTGGTGGGATTTCTGCTGAACTTCCGCAAGCTATACTTTCTGTGATACCGCCACTCTTCTGAAAAGGTCTCAAAACTGATGAAGGTCGTCAGACGGAGATGTGTCTTTCTGAAATATGGCATCATCAGGCGAGGAAGAGGATTGGTCAGTAGGAATTGATGTTGAGACTCATCCTCAGTGGTATGTTGTAGGAGTACCTGAGGCTCAGGTAGTTGGGGCGCCGGGATACCTGATGGAGTTGGTGGTCTGGCTGTTGCTGGTAAAGACTGACACTCCCTGTTGGGTGGTGTGTGTGAATGATGAGGAGAGTAGGACACCGAGGAATGTCGAGACTGGGAATAGTGCCTATAATAACGATGTTCCGGTGACCTATGATAATATGAGGAGCAGTGTGGAGATCCAGAGTAGTAACGGGATCTGTGAGAGGTATAATACCCATAGCGCCCGGAGCGTGATGGAGACCGGGGAGATCGAGATCGTTCTCTGGATCGCAGGGTCGGTGGAGGTGACCGGTGATAATAACGTCTTGGCGAGACACGTGGGGAATGGTAAACCCTCTGCACGTGCCTGATAGATTAGGGAGAGCGTCCTGATGAAGGAGAAGGCGGTTCAGGTGAAAATTGGATGTTATCTGGTGAGGGAGAAGGTGTAATGATTCTCCTCGATGTTCAGTGCGTGGATAAAGCAGTTCGTCCTGCAGAAGGTCGTGCAGACTGCACATTTCCTTCCCTCGATGCCGGCAGTGCCATGTCAGGAGGCGGAGAACGTTGTGGGAGAATAGACTCCCGAGCCGGAGTGAGTTCCCGCACCGAAGAGTTGCTCGGCGCCGGCGAGTTACTTGGTGCCAGCGAAGTGCGCAGTGCCCGAGCATCTGACGGTGCTGGTGGGCGACGCGGTGCCAGCGACGCGTTCGGTGCTGAAGGTTCCTTCGGTGCCGAGGTGGGGATCGGTGCCGTAGGAGTGGTCTGCGTCAGTGCCGCAGCTGTCAGCAGTGCGGCGGGTGTTCTCGGTGCCGCATGTGCAGTTGGTGCCGGGAACAGTTTCGGTGCCGACGATGACTTAGGCGCCCGAATAGTCGCGGGCTGCGGCACCGAGGTACTGTGGCTGGACTTTGCCTTAGAGCCATGCACGCCCGAGGTCCCAGGTTCGTCCCCCATGCTAACATGTGTCGGGGGAAGGGACCGAGAAGGCGATGGTCTTTTCTTCACCTTCTTTTGGGACGGCTCCGCTGAAGGAGCAGGGAGGGATCCGGGATTCGCTCCCTCTTGTGGCTGTAATGCCCTGTCAAAGAGGAGCATTTTGAGCCTCCTGTCCCTGTCCTTCCTCGCTCTCGCAGTAAGTTTGGAGCAGTGAGGGCACTTCTGGGGTATGTGCCCCTCACCTAAATAGCGGGTGCAGAAAGAGTGACCATCGGAGGCAGGCATTGCCTCGCGGCATGAGCCGCACTTTTTAAACCCTGGAGAACCCGGCATGGTCACCTCTGTCTTCTTCTGACAGGAGTAAAGAAGAAACTATCTACAGGTAACTGCTGAAGAAAAAAATTTTTTTTTATTTTTTTTGTAAAACTAATGACTACGACTAACACTAATGTCACTAAATAACTGGAAATAACTAACTATGAACTAATCTAAGTAAATCCTAAAGGTCCTTTCTCTCTCTCAGCCTGACAGAGTCTGAGGAGAAAACAGTATTCCGTCCGCGGCCGAGGACGGTCAGGAGGAACTGGTGGGAGCCGGACCGCGCGAACACAAACGGCACGAAAGAGCACGAGCCGCGCTTCACGCATGTGCGGTCCGGCGGACTACAGCTACAAAAATTCTCCGATCTGCGGCGTCTGGACAAGCCCGACACCTACAGTGGAGCACCCACGGGACACTGCTCGAAGAAGAACCCTACTTACAAACGGGGTGAGGCAACCCCGCACTAGCTGCTTCCCCCCAGCAGACTAGGGAGACACGGAGCGACTTTTCTCAGCAGAAACCTCAGCTTGAGAATAAAGGACAGAGGGAAGTGAGGTGTGGGAGAATAAAACTGAGCACTGGAGAAATGTTTGGCTAGAGTTTCTCCTACAATATGTACCAGTTCCGACTTGCATACAAATTCAACTTAAGAACAAACCTACAGTCCCTATCTTGTAGGTAACCCAGGGACTGCCTGTATTTTGGTTTTTATATATCTATATCTATATCTATATCTATACACACACACATACACACACACACACACACACACTGAGCACTGGAGAAATGTTTGGCTAGAGTTTCTCCTACAATATGTACCAGTTCCGACTTGCATACAAATTCAACTTAAGAACAAACCTACAGTCCCTATCTTGTAGGTAACCCAGGGACTGCCTGTATTTTGGTTTTTATATATCTATATCTATATCTATATCTATACACACACACATACACACACACACACACACACACACACA